ATATATATATATATATATATATAGCATATATATATATGCGTGCGTGCGTGCGTGTGCGTGCGTACATGCGTGCGTACATGCGTGCGTGCGTGTGCGTGCGTGTGTGCGTGCGTGTGTGTGCGCGCGTGCATGTTTGTGTAAGAGTGGGGGAGGAAGGCAGGGGGACACACATGTTGTGAATGTCATTAACGAACCCATTAGCGAGTGCGACGTAAAAGAATCGAGGCAGCGTCTTGATTCAGGTGTTTTGCATGTAAATTAACGTTGACTCTGAGCGGGAGCGTGTTAATGCACGGCCACCTAATTAGCTCATCAACGCTTGTCGGGCATCTCGTATGTCGACGCTATATAGTCATAATTATAGTCTACTGCAGCGACCTCTCCCCCATGCACGTCTGCAGGCGCGCGCGCGCGATCTAGCTGCCATCTGGTGGTCAGCGCAGCGTCATGTCCGGCTCCCAGATTTGGGTAGATTTTTTTAATTACAGTTACCTTTCAATTGCAGATTTAGGGCTCATCTTCTCTCTCACTCGCTCTCTCTTTCTCTCTTTCTGTCTCTGTCTCTCTCTCTCTCTCGCGCGCTCTCTCTCTCTCTCTCTCTCTCTCGTCGCGCTCTCTCTCTTCTCTCTCTCGCTCTCTTCTCTCTCTCTCTCTCTCTCTTTCTCTCTCTCTTCTCCTTCTCTCTTTCTGCATTGCTCTCTCACACGAACGCCTTTCCCTTCGCGCAGGTAATATGGACGTACCAGCGCCCTGGCGGAGAACTCATCCTACTGACGTCAGATGGCGCTGTCGTCGACGACAACGATCGTCTGAGCGTGCAGCTATCGGGGGACGCCAGACGTCGCATCGTCAGACTGAGGATCGCTAACCTGGGCAGGGAGGACCAGGGAAACTACGCGTGTGAGGTTCCCGCGCGGGAACCCATCGTTGTCACCATCACGATCACCGTTAGGGGAGGTGAGGTTATATACCTATATACCCGCACGCGGGGGCGGGTCGGGGGCGGTGTGTGTGCGAGAGAAAAAGATAGGAGTTAATTACATGGTAGTATAGGATAATAACGATTAATATGTATAATTATATAATAAATTACATTTAAAGTAATTATTATTATAATTATATATAAAAATAGCAAAATAGCAAAATAGCTATGGCGACGAAAGTAAAAGAAATGTCAAAGGTAAACTGTCAACGGTTTGAAGTGATATGTCCTGCGAAACCCTTGATATTTATGACATGCGATAGTCGTACATATTTCTGATGTGTCTGACAAGGTGCTGTCTTGTTCTATCATCGTTCTAACTGAAGCTTAATAAAAGCCCCAGTAGATGGCGGCACTGCCGCGTTCGCTTAAATCCGAGCACATATTGAATACTAACGGAGTCTGTTTCCCATCCAGTGCGTCCAAGAATACCGGGAGACTCCGTAACGTTGGTCGTTCCGCCGACCATCAAGAGGGAGCCACCGTCGATTCAGGACGTCATTCCGTCCGGTCCCCATGTCGACGGGCCGACGATCTTGGAGGTCAGCCAAGATTCGGACGTTCCGGCCGGAGCGACCCTGGAGCTGACCTGCGTAGCGGCCAACGTCGGAAACCGCAACGTAACGAGTTTATTTATTATTATTATTAATATTATTACTATTAGTAGTAGAAGAAGTAGTGGTAGTAGTAGTAGTAGTAGTAGTAGTAGTAGTAGTAGTAGTAGTAGTAGTAGAGTAGAGTAGTAGCAGTAGCAGTAGCAGTAGCAGTAGCAGTAGCAGTAGCAGTAGCAGTAGCAGTAGCAGTAGCAGTAGCAGTAGCAGTAGCAGTAGCAGCAGAAGCAGCAGCAGCAGCAGCAGCAGCAGCAGCAGCAGCAGCATATATTATATATATATTACATATATTATATTATTATACTAATCATTATTACACATTATATGATCACAGACTATTTTTAATACATTAACAATAACATAGCAATAACGTGTGCTGTCTGTGACATTAAAAGTAAATTATTTCGCTACCGTCTTTTCTTGCCATCGCTGCTTCGCTAACTAAACAGAAACCCTCTACAACGCCGTACAGGTCGTCTGGAAGCTGACGAAACCCGGTCGACAGTCGACGCTGCTGACGACAGGTGGCGCTGTGCTCGCGCACAACGATCGTCTGAGCGTGACGGTGATGTTGCAGGGTGGACGGCGGGTCGTCAGGCTGCGTGTGGCGGACGTACGGCGCGAAGATTCGGGAGTGTACACGTGCGAGGTGCCGGGGTCGCCACGCAGCGTAGCCGTAGATATCCTCATCACCGTGTTCGAAGGTGAGGCCTGTGCGCACACACACACACATGCACGCACAATGACGCACGCACACACACACACACACACACACACATACACGCACACGCACACACACACACACATCGCACGCACACACATCGCACGACACACACACGACACACACACGCACGACGACACACACGCACGCACACTACACTACGCTACGACACACACA